AGGCGGAGCCCGTAGTCAGAGAGATTTACTACCTTGGTAGGAGTAAATCTCTCTGGCTAATGTGGCTCACTTGCACCATTTCGCACCTTCAAAGAAGTTAACAAGTCGCACCAAAGTGAGACCTTTTATCTGACGTGAAGTAGCAAAGGGGGCTAGTAAAAGCAGAATGCCCCCATGCCGAAAGGAGCCTGTTTGCTCTTCGAACATTGTACAGTCATGATCCCTTCGAATAATGGGGGGGAGTGTGACATAGCGTCGACTGGAGCCTAGGGCAACCTGATATAACAATGCGGCATCCTCAGTGCGCAACAACTGACGAGAAAAGCTGCGCTCTACCTAGCTCACGCCCCTTCGCTCCTCCTTCGCTTGCAGGATCGCGACTGTAAGGCTCCCATACTTTGAAGCAGCGTCCACTAGCGTCTTCCAGCGTCCACCAGCGACCAGCAGCTTTTCAAGCGTCCGGCAGCGCCAGCGACTAGAAGTATAGATATCGATCTAGTATCTGCCAGCGTCTGCCAACGTCTACCAGCGTCCACCAGCGTTCACCAGCGACCGGGAGTAGAGAGCATGGGGAAGTAGGAGGGTAGCAAACAGCTGATTCGTGAAATTGAGGTATGTGCAACCGCGCCGTACAGCTACCTGACACCGACACGACGCTGCATAACTGTTTGCTTTAGCAGTCGTGCGGTGCGGTGCACAGGCCACTAACCATCCATTTGCTGCCCTACTGCTTCCCATACTCTCTACTCCCGGTCGCTGGTGAACGCTAGTAGACGCTGGTGGACGCCGCCGCAAAGTATGAACGCACCTAATCCTCGTAAAATGTTTAACTGACTTCATGTTTTTTCATTTCTTATTTTTCGACGTCCTTTCAAAGTAATAGCTCTCTTGTAAATAACTGGAGTGAAAACACTTTAGGCTCGGGGATGGCGTAGTGCATGGCGGATATCTGAATTACCCACTCAAGGAAAGCCAAACTGATCCCAGGTGGACCTTGGTTCCAATGTCACAAGTTGAGAACGAGATACTTGAACCTCGTCTTAAAACATGTGGATTTACCGAAGAAGGTGAGACAAGTGATGAGAGAATCTGCAACGTATTTTTTGGGAGAGAATTCAATTTTTCAGGTAATTTTGAATGCGACATGCCATTGGCCGAGTTCATCTCATACATTCCACTGTGGATCAAAACCGCACTGGTTCTATGCTTTTCAACGCTTGTCTTCTGTTTTTGCATCATGCTCGCTTGCGGAATACGACGATTTTGTGGTGAGGGTTTTAACTTTCTTAGGGTCCTTAGAGGACAACTGGGATTGGTATTTCTCTATATATAAACCAGTAAGTTGTGTGTGTCTGTATGTCTGTGTGACCGCTCAAAAATCGGGGTTACGTGAAAATTCACCTTCAGGGAACCGTTTGAGGAAGTGACCATGCGATAGACCGGAATTTGCAGAGCATACGCAAGGAGACCCAAGCTTCGCCCATAATGGGCGGGGAGGGGCGTTCGCCGAAGTGAACAGTGCCGAGGATAAAAATTCTCAAAACGTATCCGGAGTACCCCCGGAAATGGGGAGTATAGTGATGAG